TGAGTCCACATAAAAATGCCCAAATAGGCAAATGCTTAGACACAGAAAGCAGATTCCAAGGGTTGGGGGGAGGGGTAGGAAGTGACTGCCAATGACAGAGTGTTCTGAAATTAGATAGTGGTGTTGGCTGTACACACATCGAGTACACAAAAAGCCACTGGATGGTACAATAGTACGTGAAGGGTGACTTTATGGCATGTGAGTTATACCTCAATTAAAAAGCAATAACCCAGGGAATGGGCTCTATGGTCTCACTTCATCAGCTAGGACACCAGGTCGTCAGGAAGGTTCAAGTTTCTGCCAGTGTGCCCATGGTCAGATCTACTCAGCTCCAGAGTCTTGCTCCTCAGGACTGCACCACGTGACGTGAACTAAGCAGGCAGAAGCAGAACTCCACCTGTCTGTCTCTGGGGCAAGAAGGCAGGCCTGGCTAGGAGGGCAGGCACTCATCATAATGCAGGTGCTCATGTTCCAGGGGGACGTGCTGAGGCCCACGCACAGGTGAATTTAACCTATTGGATAGGCAAACATGCAAAATGCACCAAAGCCAGCGCCTACCTGCCTCCAGAAGGATTGTCGTGGGATGCTGGAAAACCTGGAGAGACTCAACCGTAGCTTCACAATGTGTAGACACAATGGAACGGAACCCACAGGACTTCACTGGCACACAGAAATAAACCTCAGAAGAGTCATCCTGTGACAAAACCCATGGCCTGTTTTCTTCTGATTTGGAAGGCCATGGGCTCCCATCTCTGGTTCCTGCCTGTGCCAGAATTCTCCCCACCTGCTGTCAATACCAGGTATGAAAAACAGCACTTCTCTGAATTTGCACTGAAGTCATTAAGAGCATGTGAATTGTACAGAAGCTTTGAAAGGATGTTGGAGCAAGAGATGGCAATACACCCACTCACACCGCAGTTCACGGCTGACACTTCGGCTGAATGTTTCTGTCCCTCCAAGCCCCCTCCTTGGTAGCCTTTGCTTCCCCTCCCTACCCACACCCCCACCATGCTGGCTCCTCTGTCTTTCCTCCCAAGAACAGTGTGAGTACAAGTCCTGGCCCTGACACTTGTTCCATAGCCACTTTGTGCCTCAGTTTCCCCATGGGTAAGGTGGGGATGGTCGTTCTTCCTCTCTGAAGGTCACTGTGGAAGCTAGATGAGTTCATGTGTACGAAGAGCTCAGAACAGTACCTGGCTCATGGTAGCTCTCTGTGAGTCTTCTCTGTTACTACACAGAACAGGCTGGCAACCACTTTCAGTTAGCACAGCAGATTTGGGGCCTGCTTGCCTTCCAGTGACTTCTCACAATTTCTTCCTGACAAGTAGAATGCCTTCTCTGAGGAGAATTTTGCTAATAAGTGTCCTTTTTGACTTTTTTGTCTTTCCTGCTGTTCTGGTAAGGCCACCAACTCCAGGGCTGGTATTCTTTCCCTGGGAAGGAGCCTGACCCCATTGTGCCTGGACAGGCTGGAGAACACCATATGTTGAGGGAAACCCAAATGGCTTCCCCACCCAGCTGGCTGGCCCAGGCATTCCTTTTGGAGCCAAAGGCAGCCACATGCCTTCCCCTCCTAGCAAAGTAGGCCAACTCTCTCAGGAGTGGTTTGGTGGGAACACCACCCAAATGTTGCATGGTAGCCAGCTGACAGAGTTGAATGTGGGCTCACTGTAGGCCCAGGCTGCCCTTTCAGGGAAGTCAGGCTGCACCCCAACAATTCTGGCCCATTCTTCTAGCTCTACCTGTGTAGCTTGGGCAAGGGGAAGCCCATGCTAACCCACTCCCAAAGTCACTGTCTACTCTGCAGTATACAGCTCCTGACAGGTGTGCTGGGCCTACATGGCAGGGAAGGCCTCTTAATATCCTCCACCCAACATGCATGGACATCCTGGAGCAGGGCCAACCCTGGGAGGACCTGAATGGGGACTAATGATGTTGACATAGGCCCCACCCAGAGCTGCCCAGCACCCCTTATGTGCTCCAGCCCCTTCTACAAGATGGCAGAGCTGGACTTAGGCCATGTGGTCCTCTGCCAGGGCCTCTCCACACCAGCTCTCTGTGCATCACATTCAGCTCCAGGCTTCCCCTAAAACAGGGCTTTCTGAGCAGCTGAGGTGAGATCAAAGCTTTCCTGCCTTGTGGTAGGTGACAGGGCTGACCTCTCTCGAGGAAACGAAGGGCAGGGCACGGGGCAAATGTGCACTCCTAAGTCACGTGGGTGCCAGATGAATTGCAGCCTTGTCCTTTGGCATCTCCCTCCCCTCTCCCCAGTTCCATCTAAATAATTAAGTCCCCTTTTCTGACACAAAGGCCCCTCCTGACAAGGCCACACCTTTCCCAGATCTCCAAACACACCTAAACCAGCAGGTGGCAGCCCTTGGCCCATCAGAGGAGACAGGGCTCCAGCCTCTGGGGCCCAGGCAGCATGAGATCTGAGCACTTATGGGGGTCCAGCATTGTTGAGGTACAGCCTGCCTTTTCTGAATGCTTTCAGAGCAGACGGGTGAGTCTATATGGCTTCCTTCTGCTGTCCTATCTTCTTTTAAAGCAAGATCATTAAAGGGCCCTGACACACAGATGTACAACTTGGGGTCCCCACAGATTGACTGAGGTCCAGGGAGACCCTGAAGTGCCAAGTCTGTTACTTTTGAAACTGAGGAAAGCCTGGCTCCTCTACACCCTCTCTCCCGCTGCCCTTGGATTGTTAACTTGGCAGAAGTCCCAGCAGGGACTGTGACACTGGTCAGGCCAGGATGGCAAGGGCCAGGCTTCCCCAGTCCAGACAGGGGAAAGTAAGGACAGGGAATTGTTTTTTCAGGAAGTTAAAGCTCTTTGCTTTAAAGGACTGGTTTTTAACAGTTTTTAAAAGTAAGGAGTGTGTCCTTCCTGCCTCTTTGGTGTTAAGGGTACTTAACACCCTTTACATGGAAGGTGACATTTGGTTGTCATTCAGTTAGTTCTGGCAAAATCAAGGGCAGCAACTGTATGAGGTTTCTCGGGTTTGGGAAAAGTTCTCTGGTCTGGGGCATCCCACAGCCTACAGAGCACCTAACCCTGCAGGAAGTGGGGTGAGGGAGTTTCCCACGTGAAGCAGAGGAAAGAGGGGAGCCCTGGGCCTGGGCCTGGGAGGTTGGCAAGAATCCAACTTGGATAACAGAATGGCAGCCATTACTGGGGGGGCCCCATGGGCACCTCCCTAGTGTTCAGCTCTCCATATGGCCTTGGCTGTGCAGGAACTCAGGGCAAACAAGTGAGGAAGGAGTGCAAAGTCAGGGGCCGTCATCGTAGAGATTCTGCAAGGCCTCTTGGGTTCAGGCTGGGGCTCTACTTGCTCTGACCTTAGACTTTGAGATGCTCACACCCTGGAGTAAGAGAGACCCACATCCACACCTGTGCCCAGCATATGCTAGGCCCTGGTCAAAGGACCACTGTGAAGCACAATGGCACAGAGCCGTGGAGGCTCTTGGCAACAGCCAGCACCTAACAGAATCACCCAGGGCCAACAGCCCACCAGGGCAGGAGAGACGCACATGTGACCAGTGGAGTCAGGCCAAGTTTGTGAGATGTTGAAGAAACTCTTCCTGCCCCTTTAAGGCCCCTCATCAGTGGGTCCCCACAAGACAATCCCTGGAGGAGGTTCTGGTCACCTGCCACCCTTCTCTGGAGTGTAAGGGTAGGGGGACACAGGAAGCCAGCTGCTAACTCCACCAGCACAGGGTAGCAGGCCAGCTGTGAGCCTGGGCTGGCCTCTAAAGCCTGGTAAGCACCCAGGCTTCTCTTGCTTCCACCTGTCTACTCAAACGCCAGCTTGCCTGGGGACAGGTGGGGGTGTGCAGCACAGTCTCGTTTGCAGCCTCTGGGGGCGGATGACCTTGGCTTTGACCATCATCATTCATTTAACCTGCCAGAGCCTCGGTTCCCTACTCATGGGACCTGCACGCCAGGTTGAAGATGAAGGCTAAGAAAGTCTCAGCACAGCAGGTCCCTGCATTAGTGAGGGCTGAGAACAGGACTGTGGTCAGTCACTCTCTTCCCTCCTGCCTGAGACAGGCAGGCCTTGGCTTCTCAAAGGGACCTTTCTCTCAGCCTGGGGACACTACCTGAGATGTTTGAGTGAACACACCCTTCCTAATTGCATGCTGGCGCTGCCTGAGGCCCAAGTGAGGACATGGTTAGACCACAGAGCTACAGAGGGAGAGCCTCCCTCAGAAGGGGGTGTTAGAAAAGAACCTTCACTCTGTTGTTGGGACAGGAGCGCATTCAGCAACATCCCCAAGCTGGGTCATGGCAGGAGCTACTGGGGGCAGAGACCCAGATGGGTGGCGACACAGCTGAGGGCTGAGGAGGGAGAGAGGACCCACGGGAGAAGAAAGTCTCACTGGCAGGGATGGTGACTTCCTCTGTCCTCAGGGCTCAGAATTCAGTGGCTGGGGTGAACCAAAAGTCCTTTCTTGGTTAAACTTGCCCCAGACTCTTGAGTCCCCAAACAGTGGCTTGCTCCACGCCCGACAGCTTGGGCATGGGAAGGGGTCCCTCTTGCCACCATTGCTCTTCCCAGGATTCTGAGCTGGGCATCTTTGAGCAACACCTGTGCTGATCTCCCTTTCACCGTCACACAGCCCTGAGCATCCTCCCAATTTGAAGAGCCCAGACCGCCTTCTCCAGCCCCTGGAGCCCAAGGAAGCCCCTGGCACCGCAGCTCATGGAGAGCTGGGTGTGCGTGCGCCAGGCCTGGAGTGGCTCTGAGAGCTCCAGTGCTGCATGATCTGCCACAAGATGGGCTCCCTGAACTACAAGGCCAAGATCCAAGGTGGGCCTCAGTTGGGCCCCTCATCAAACAGAGTGGCAGTGTGCAGGTCAGGCCACTTGTCCTGTGACATAAAAACAACCCAACCTAGTGCTGTGCCCATTGCTAAGACCTGTGTTAGCTTTCCCCTTTGGGGTCACCCGTCTGTGGTGTCAGTGTCCTGGCAGTGGCCGAAAGGAAAGTCAGTACTCACAGCACACAGAGCGCGTATGCCCGGGCGATGGACTCGCTGGCACGCACGAGGAAGCTCCCGTCCTTGCCCGCCCTGGAGAGCAGCTCCTCTGCCTTGGAGCGGGTGATGTTGCCGTGATTCCAGCCGGGGACCATTGTGGGCGTGGGCCGGACCAACTGCCACCCTCAGGACCTTCACACCACCAAGGGCAGCTGACGGCCCTGTGCCAGAGCTTCTGCCTGTCCCCTCTCAGTCGCCTCAGCTGCTGCCACCAGCTAACTGACTGACTTCCTGTTTCAGGCGCTCAGTGAGGGAAAGGAAACTGAGCTGCAGAGAACTTCCTCATTACAGAAACCAAGAGAGAGAGAGAGAGAGGAGAGGGCCTGTCGTCCACCTTCCCACCCGGCCCAGTCACTGCCTGCACGCCCCTGCCTCTCACTGGCTGGCCCCGGTCTTCTCTGTAATGGATCTCAGCCTCCAGCAGCTTCCAGAATCAGCTAAAGTCCTGCCTGGTTGAAGAGACTTCTGGTCAAGAGACTTCTGGCAGGCTTCTAAGGGTGGCCTAGTAGGCGTGGATGGGCTGAAGGAGTACCATATGGAGGCCTGTACTGATGCCCACATGGATGGCTATGCACCAGTCAGACCTGGACTTTTCAACTCCCCACCTCTCCCAGTATACCCAAGGGGCCAAGCTTTTAACGGTGAACTAAGGCCTGCTCCCAGAACAGAGTACAGTGGAGGTGGGGGAACAGTTGAACCCTGCCCCTCCCCACTGGAGACTCACAGGCATCGGTCACCAATGGCCTGTGTGCTGGGAGAATCTCAGGTGCCACCTCCAAGGACTTTGAGGGCCCAGGAGAGTTCCGTGACTCCCTTACATTCCTGCCTGGGGTGGCCCTGTTCTCTGTGGGCAGTGCTGCTCTGTCCCTGCATCTGGCTTGTGCACACACAGGGAATCTGGACAGCTGGGGACACGGACTGCTCCCAATGCCAGGGTAGGCTGGGTTCTCCCGCTCTGGGCCTCTTCAGGGCACTCAGGAAATAAGCTTAGGAAGAGCCCATACATGGGCAAGTTGACCGCTTGGCTAAGGATGGCATTTGTTCCTGAGTTGTGCAGCGCAGCAGTCTGAGGTGGCAGTCACACTGCCAGTACCAGCAGCATTCTGAAGGCCTAAAGTGGGCCTTGTCCCTTGGACTCCAGAGCTCGGTGCCCTCAGGCCTCAGTCAGACTCACTGAGGGAAAGGGCTCAGTGCTAGCTGGCTGCAGAAAGTGGCCCCCACTCCTGTATCCACGCCTTGTCCCCAGGACGTGATAGCAGACCCAGAGCCAGGCAGCCGCTCCACATTGGAACTGTAGCAGCTTGGTCAAGCCTCTTATCACTCCCAGCCTCGGTTTCCTCTTCGCTAACTTGTAGGGTGTGGCTCTGAAAGGAGCTCCTGTGTGCAGAGGGGCTATGAGCTGTGCTGTGGCCACTTCAGGGCAGGACCAGCATCTCTGCACGCAGTGGTACACATGGCAGGGCGTCTTAAAGGGGGAGCACTCTTGGTAGAGGCCTCCTGGTCACAGCCTATGCCAAGGGTCACAGTAGTGACAAGAGTTGGTCCCTACACGCTGACCTTCTCCAGCCAGCTTGGTCCAGAGGATTCCAGCTCTACAGCTTCATCCACCCCCTCCTTAGAAAACCTCCGCTCATTCCTAGCTCCTGTCGTGCACACCTGCACCTTTCTCCATGCTTCCCTGCTGACCTCCAAACTCTCATTGCTCTTGGCCTCAAAGCCTCCAGGGTCTGTCAGGAGACTCCAACTGCAATCTTGGCTCTTTTAAAATATTGATGTATAGTTTTAAGTTTTCATTTACAGAGCCAGGGTCTTACTACATTGCCTAGACTGACCTGAAATCTTTTTATGTAGTCCAGGCTGGCCTCAGACTTGAGGTCCTCCTGTCTCAGCCTCCTGAATTCTGGGATTACAAGTATGAACTAGGATACCTGGCTTAATCTTGGTCCTTTTGTGCATTGACTGACTGCTCTCTAGGGACCCCTCCACATCCATGACTGTTCAAATGGTAGATGGCTTCTCTCAGCCCCCTCAGCTTCCCTCCCCATCTCCCATACCTTCATTGCCACTCTCTTCACCCAGCTCAATGAGCTCACCTGACACACACATGATACACACGTCAAAAATGCGTCCCTGATTTTCCACGCCCATCCCATCTTCACTTTCTACCCCACCCACTTGCCTGAGCCATGAACATGGTTGCCTTCCTTGTCCCCCTGCCCCTGTCCCCCACTTTCAGAAAACCCCGGCATTTGCAGAGCCCCTGTCTATATCAATAATTTAATTAAAATCCTCTTTTAAGTTCATGGGCCCGTATGAGGTATGGTGGTTTATTAGGGAAGAGCTGTCATAGTGACTGGCGAGGGGCTAAACGCCACGTGTTCAGTGTCCACTCTGTGCCCCTGAAGTCCTCGTCTTCTCTTCTGGTTCAGGTCCAGGAGCCACAACCTCATATTTCTTCATTGTCAAATGCACCGTCCTCATTGGCTTTGAGTCTCCTGCTCAGGTGAGGGTAGTAGGCTGCTGTCATTCGCAACCACGGCTCTGCAGAACCTGTTCTCATTGAGACCACACAGGTCTTCTGGCCTCTGCATCTCCCTAACTCCACACGCTTACCACTGGTTATGCCACCGCATCGTCACCGTGCCACCCGTGAACAGGGCTTCCACCGACTTCCTTGGAGGTTGGTCGTTTGCTTCATTGATGACCACGACGCATGTCTTCCTCAGTTGCAAGAAAATGTTAACGATAATTGGTGTTATTCTAATATTACATCTACTATTCTGTATTTTAGGGAATGAACACAGAGCAAAGCATTGTCCAACCATATTGTCTTAAACTTTTGAGGCCACAATTACCGCCTTCCCACATTGTGACCTCTTTCAACAATGACTCCACCCTGACCTTCCACACAGGAGAACAGCCCCATTCTCCAGCAATATTCATCCCACACTGACATAACGTTAGTGCAAGCTGGAGAACAAAGGGATGCCCCACGGATGAGAGGTGGGGAGGACGATTATTGGAGCAGCTGTGGGTGCTGTGGAGCAAAGTTCTCAAAAGCTGTGGCAGGAGCTTCCAGAAGAGGTGAGGTGACTGCTCAGATGCTGTTGGCAGGAGCACAGAGGGTAAAAAGGACACCTGGACCGGCCCTGCTGCCCTTGTTGCTCAGAGCCACTCAGAAGGAGTGACCTGCTTCCTGTTCTTGGAGCCACACTTTACTATCATGCCCTAAATGATCTCATAGGTATGAGTCTCAGAGCTCCGGGGGGGAACAACTGGTCAACCCCATATGTAGGGCCAAGGTATGGAAAGCAACTGAGAGGGAGGGTGAGGTCAGGACTCAAGTGGGCCCAAGGCCAGGCTAGGGCACCCACCCAACTGCACTGCCAGCCACGGTCAGTCCCTGGCACTAAAGGGAGACTTGGAAAATTTCTGGGAAGTCGGATCAGTGAGACGCATCGGGGCGTCTGGCAGGCCTGGATCATGGACACTGGGCCATGTCTGGAAGCTCTGGGAAGAATAGACAAAGGTGTGTGAAAGGAGTGAGCTTACATGGCAGGCACCATGCACCACAGATTCTGTGTCTGAGACCTTGCATGGAGCAGGGCACAGGAATAAGCGAAAGTGATTCATTTGAGCCCAGTCCAGGGTCAGGGCAGGCTAGGAGGGAGGTACAATAGGGAAAGCATGAAGACGCAGAATGGACTTCCCAGTCTGAGAAGCTGAGCCGACAGAGGAACCATGAAGTCCCAGCTATAGGGAGGAGGCCGAGGGGGGTTGCAGGAGCAGGAAGAGGTCACTCCACAGATGACTGGACAATATACCTAAGCATTAGTCCTCATACTCCCTTCCCTCCATGCCATCAAAGCCCATTACTGTACCCAAGGACCACCCACCCCTCCAGCCTGGGCAGATTAGATAAGTGTCACCTTCTACCTGGAGTCACTTCCTGGGCTCTGAATGAGGTGCTCTACAAAGTCACCAAAAGCAAAGGGAGCCATGTTGGGAATTTTATGTGTCAACTTGGCGAAGCCAGGGTATCTAGATATTTGGTCACGTGTTATTCTAGATGCTTCTGTGGAGGTATTTTAAAGGTGATATTAACATTTAAATCAGTAGACTGTGAATAGAGTAGGTGACCCTCCATCTTTTGGTAGGCCTCTTCCAATCAGCTGACAGCCTTAACGAAAAAGACTGACCTCCAAAGAAGAAGCAACTTGCCAGCCGATTGCTTTCAGACCCAAATTGTAGCTTCTACTTTCTCTTGGGTCTCCAGCCAGACAGCTTGCCTTGTGGATTTTGAATTGTCAGACTTCACAATCACACGAGCTACTTCCTTAAAGTAAATTTACATCTAGCTACCTGACGACTATCTATCTGTCCATCTATCCATCTAATAGATATAAGGTAGGTAGCTATCTAGACCCATACATACTACACACAGAACAGTCAGGGGTTGCTTAGAAACAACAATATGTGTTGTTAGGTGATTTCATCATTGTGTGAACACCATGGAGTATCCTTACACAAACCTAGACAGTGTAGCCTGCTACACACCTGGCTGTACGTGCAGCCCGTGGCTCCTGAGATGCAGACCAGTATAGCACGTTACTGTAGTAAACACTACAGTGACAATTTGAATACAGTGGCATTTGTGTGTCTTAACATACCTCAAAGTAGAAAAAGCACAGTACAAACATCATATAAAAGATAAGACATGGTGAGGCTTGCAGGCCTGGAGGTTGCTCTTGGTGAGCCAGCAATGAGCGGAGAGAGAATGGGAAGAACCAGAACATGACTGACACTGCTGCAGACTTCATAAACACGTCTCACTTAGGCCACATTATGTTTATTTTAAATTTTTTCTCTCTTCAATAATATAAATTAACCATAGCTTACGCAAGTTTTTTTGTGGGATGGGGGTTTGAATTGAAGGCGTCAAGCTTGAAAAGCAGGTACTCTACTGCTTGAGCCATTTTCCTCTAGTTATTTTGGAGATAGAACCAGGTCTCAAAAACTTTTTGCCCCTACTGCCCTTGAACCACAATCCTCCCTAATCTCAGCCTCGCAAGTAGCTAAGATTATAGGTGTGAGCTATCAGCACCCGGCTATAACTTTTTGACTTTATAAACTTTTTATTTATTTTTTTTAAAACTTCTTGACTCTTGGAATTCACTTAGCTTAAAACACAGACATATTGTA